TGAAAAATTAGGCTCTCAAAATATTATATTACCGTGTTCTACTGGTACCAAAATTCCATAGATAATACTCTAACATATGGTCGTTGGCTCTTTACCAGTTCCCCCCTTTCACAGAACCGAGTTTTGTGTTTGTTTTACGTGTTATTACAGCTAAACGCGTGATGTTACGCTGTAAAGCATGAAGAACAAATCTGTTCAAAATTGTCGGTTTGTTCACCACGCCAAATTTCATTGCATTATGACAACGTTAAATAGACTTTTCAAAATTGAATTTGAAAGGGGGGAAACTGGAAAAGAGCCTGGTCAGACAGTCTCTACCAAATAACAAAATAATCAGTTCTAACCTATTAAAAATCGAATATGATATTTTTGTTTCTCTAAGCAGTAAAACCCCTAATGATAAACCCTATAAGGCTATCTTCTGAGGGCGCCTTCAGTGCACAATACTACAACTTTTGAAACTGAACCGCGCTTCAAGAAAACCCAACTCCTTTCTCAAAAATTTCCGAAAAAAGTCAAAACACGCAGAAAATTTAGATCAAAATAGGGTCCTTATAATCCGGGGTGAATCTAGGATTTTCTCGAGTGGGGGACTTTCAACAATTTTTCGAAAATTTTGTCAAATCTTTTTTGGCTTGTTTCCTTATTTCCAGTTTCCTCTCCCCCTTTCAAATTCAGTTTTAGAAAATTTATTTAACGTTGTCATAAAGCAAGGAAAATTGGCATGGTGAACAAATCGACAACTGTGAACAGATATGTTCTTTATACTTTACAGCGTAACATCACGCCTTTAGCCGTAATAACACGTAAAACAAACCTAAAACTCGGTTTTTTGAAAGGGGGGAACTAGAAAAGTGCCATTTTTTAGATTGACTTATTTCATTTTCCCGGCCCCTAGAACACTATAAAGAGCGATTTCTGAAGAAAAATTTAGAGCTGCAGGCAGTTTTTGAAAATTTCGACCAAAAAACTGCGTTTTTCGGCGCGCACTCCCTTTCAAAAATTGTATATATTGGGGCCGAAGGCGCCTTTAGAAAAATTTTAAGGTTGGTTGGCCTAAAATGGATGTCATTACACCTCCCCTAAATCCGCCCCTGCTCATAGTAAGTTGGGAGCGCTCGGAAAATCAAATTGGTCGACTTAAAAATTAATGACAAATCTTTCAAATTTTTTTTGAAAATCCGCCCTCTTCCACATATTGCAATAAAACTCAGCAAAGTGAGCAAAGTAAAAATTCTTGTCACATCTTTTGTTCATTCTTTGCAGATCGTAGCATCACACAGTTAGCCATATTAACACCTAAGACAACGATGGACTGTTAATATTTTTCCTCTCCTCGCATAAGCATCAGTTTCATGGCGTAACGAGGTGCTTGTGGGGGAGATGCATGTGGGGAAACACCAAAAACTCTCAGCTGTGAAAATAAAATATTTGAAAGTTCTAGGAGTGAAAAGTAGCGAAAAAGCAATAACTTAAGATAATTTTAATTTTTTGGAAAAATTGTGCCATGGAAAATTTACATTCAATCCAACTGTCTGCATCAGTACTAATTAATCCATGTAATAGTTGCATTTATTAAAACATTGTCTTACATCAGCCGGAACCTCTGTCCTCTTCACTGTGCGAATAGTGCGTGTGGTCTCCTCTGAAATAAAAAAAAAACAGTTTTTAATTGTGCTGTTTTTCAAGTTTCACCCATTGATAGTCTAGTCTAACAAAAACAAACTAAATTTTTGCTGGTTTGGCAAGCAACTGTTATATTGTTCTCATTGACACGATTTAGGTCTTTCCCTTTATAGCCAAGCCACCAAGCCTAGTAATATATGGGTGTGTAAGTATAATTTGCTGGGTAGCTATGATTATTATCATTCTTGAAAGGATAACTCGTTTTAGCTAAATTCAAAAAACTGAGAGGTCTGTAAAATGAAACTCTCCCTTATATCAACCTATGCTGAAAAAATTTAATTAGTTTCATGGGTGAAAGAATCCAAGTGCGTATAAAAACCAGAGATGTGAAAAATTTGTCACTCGCTGAGAAAGTGTTTACCTAGATAGCACTCTGGTCCGCCTGGAACATCCCCTTGACCCAGACTGGATGACCTCCTATAACCTCCGCGCTCCCCCATCCCATTGCCAGCGACCCTTTGCATCGACTGTCCCCTCCTCCCCATTCGCCCTCTCATTGATCTGGGAAAAGTAGAATAACCTCCCCCTCCTCCCTGCTGGACCATGCTGCCGTATGAGCCCTGCCCAGGTCCTCCTGTCGAGTGCCGACGTCCAAATCGGTCGGCCATTTTATTTAATGAGGGAATTGATTACTGCTTGGTTATTCTATATTTCTTTTAGAGGAATTGGTTCCGTATAATACTAGGTGCTTGGTTTGAATTGTTCCCAAAATTGCTTCGTTACAAACTTTGGCAGTCGCGTGACTTCTGGATAAGCTCCTTAGCCAGAAAATGGCGGGCAATGAGTCATTAATTTAACGAATTTTTCAGTAATCACGTGCTAATCACAAAGGTCATTTAGGTCATTTCTGTCAAATAGTTTTCGAAACAAGACACTAAGCCTTTTCAATTCTTACTCAGTGCTGTTAAGAGGTACTGTTTTTTGCTAGTAATCCGTTGGTGGGCAGCTTTTTGTGCGCGCTGACATAGAGAAACAAATAGTTCACTTCCACTGCATTTTCTCCCCCTCCCTGGCCCACCACCCTCCCTCCTGGGATCAGTTTTTCTTTTTCCATCAGTTTTTCTTTTTCCTCATAATTCAACTATGAAACAGAAAACCTTAAATTGAAGGGGAGTAGAAAAAATACGAAAGCAATTATTAACACATGTTTCGATTATAAACACTAGTTGACTCGCCAAATTAATTTACAAAACAAACCAAAAATCACATGGAGTAATAAAAGAAGACCCATTTTTGGCTCTTTTCCAGTTTCCCACCCCCCTCGTAAAAGAACAAAACAAAGCTGTTCAAAAAGTATTCACACGGCATTTTTCATTTAAGAAATGTAGTAAGAATTTGTTCACCTGTTCACCTGTTCACCTGTTCACGCTGACAAGTTTTGATGCAGTTCACTTCATGAAAATTCATTTTAAATAGACTTTCATGCAGTGAATTTCAGAAAAAAATCAAAGGGGGGAGCTGGAAAAGAGCCCCATTTTTTCTTACTTCAACCTACCTTTCAAAAATTATTTCTGTTTGTGATACTTAGAAAAAATGTTCTCTTTATGCTTCCTCACTTACAAATTGGCGGACTAATTAAGCCATGACAAATATACTTGGTCTCATACTTGGTTGACCTCCATAGAACAAAAATCCTAGTCCTACATTTCCATAAACTAAGTCTTTGAAAATGTAATAATCATACAAATACAATAAGTTTTGATAAATTGATGTCATCGCATTTTCAATGTATTTTTTTGCTTGTTTTGGCAGAATAATCGATGTATCGTCATAAAAAAGAAAAATTTTTTGTCAAAAAAAATGCTTATCATTAAAATTCAATACATGGAAATTGTATGACTAGCATTTTTTAATGTGAAAACAAACATTTTTTCGAAAAATTTTGAAACTGCCCCCAAACAGTTTATTTTTTAACCGCAAAATGAATTAATACCCAAACAAAAAATTTCAAAAAATATTTTTCGCGTGCAAAATTAGTCTGTGTTACTTGCCCAGCAACCAACGCCGATTGCAAAGCAAAACAAGACTTCTTGTATCAACTGAATATTGCTTTTAAGGTATATGGAGCCGTAACAACATGAAAAATCTAAATAAAATAGAATTTTTTTTCACTTGATACTTTTTGTAAAAGCATCCCCCACACGTCACATTAATAGAAACGATAAGTTTTGCTCCTGTTAACATACCATTTATGGCATATAAGCTTCCTCGAACCAATTTGGAGCAATTTTTTAGACGGATTAAATCTCCGCTTACGCGTTCATAGCGAGAAATATATCGCGCGTTAATTGTCCCAAAATGGCAATTTAAAACCCCCAAAATTTTACTAAAAATGATGACAGGTAAAATAATCTTTCAAGTTTAAGATCAAGACAACAATAGCTTTCGAATGAAGGTAAAAAGTCGAAATTTGTCTGAAGAAAAAAACCCACCCCAAGCACAAATATTCCGTTACTTTCGTTACAAAAGTCAGAACAACAAGAAGACTGCTCGTATATCAGAATTCTTTTAGGAAAAGAAAGCATTGAAAATCTGTAAAATATGGACAAAATCAAAGGTTAAAATTTTGAGTCGTACGGAATTAATACGACCAATTAGCTAGGCCCAATTCAATTTGGAACAACTTTGGTGTGCGGGATAGTTTGCCACGCATAAACGCATAAATAATTTGTGTTACGCTCGCAGCAATATGAATAAATTCTTCAAAGCGCGCATAATTTAGTCCAGAACTTAACAAAAATAATTGGAGGTAAGGTATCTTTTTACATTTCAACTCAGAAAGTTGATGTCTTCAATGGGGTAAAAAACAATTTGCCGAAAACTATTATTTCGATCGGCGAAAATTGACTGAATAAAGAAAAACTGCACCGAGAATAAATCTTTCGCTTTATTCGAGTGTCGGAAGAACTAAATAACGTTTCCTTGGAAAAAAGAAAAGTTTATTTTAAGTTCTTAATTCAGAATGTATGGATTCATTTATCATTTAAAGAAATCTACCAGTCGTAATTCGATCGAAGTTATAAAATTTCAAGGAAATGAGTGTTGAAAAAAAATATATTTTGAAGTTTTGCTCTGTAGACAAGACTGGGTCAAAACGTCATCTTCATTGATTTTAAAACCGTGAACGCCTTGAAAGTTCATTTATAATGCGCTTATAAAGTCAAACGTTTTTTTAAAGCTCACTTTCAGTCCTTCCTTCATTTTAAAATTTTTTTTGCAACAAAACTGGTGATATCTTCTGCGATACTTGCACAGAGGCCGACTACTTTTGTTTCCTAATCATTTTAGCGCCTGCAAAAAATTTCTAAATCTAATTTAAATTGAAATATTTGCCATTATAAACCTTCATTGAAAATTTCATTTCTTCTTCGGGAACAGTTTTTTGCTCTTTCCGTTTTCTTGTTTCAAAGTATTGCCACTCTGAGGCGACGATTTATCTGAATCTGAAGAGTATTCGTCGCAGTTTAACAGCAAACAAGTCCTTGAATTCGAAATAGGCGACGAGCTTGGATCGAAGGACGTCGGGCATCGTTTCCAGTCAACATTCACATACACGAGTAATTTTGCGAGAGGAATCGGAACCGAGAACTCGTTTTCCAACTGCACACAACGAATGCCGTTTCGCACACTTGTTAGCGGAATAGTCGCTTGAGCTACAAATGTTGGATCTAAGTCTAATATTATATCTTTGTGGTAAAGAGTGAATCGTAGAAATGAGAGTTCGGCGCTCTGAACAGACCAGAACACACTGGCGTTTTTCCAGATAGGGGTCAATCCGTTTAACCGCTTGCTGGCCTTGAAAGCTTCGAACCGTTTGGATTGGTTTTGGGGGAAAATTTCGACTTCGACTATTGGAATGACTATTGCGTTGGCTATGTTAGGGAGGTTGCGGGCTGCTAGAACTTCCACACTAATTTCACAGCCTCGTGACTTCTTGCTCCCTCGTCGAATCGGAACGGGTGAATCTAAACGAAAACATTTTAGCCTAAGTTTGCCAGTAGCCTTTAATTCTGTGCTTTATAAACACAATGCTGTTAGTTTACCTGACATGAATTTGAATAGAAAACGTTAAAGGATTACATCTTTTAATTGTAGTTTTGTGAAAGTATGGTTAAAGTGTTCTTCTTAATTTCCATCTTGTACTCACAGCTGTATACTTTTGTTAATGTCATCAACTGTTTCAAAGATTAAATACTAGTCTTTTTGTGAAAATCACTTTGTTGTTTTTGAAGCCCATCTATATTTTTTTAGTCAACCCGAAGGTTAATTATTTAAGGTTGACGAAGAGCGCATATAACCAGCGCCCATAGTACGCTATGGCTTACTTACAAGAGCTCACCTTACCAATTGCAGCGCACGTGCGATTTGAACCAGCAATCATATGATTGCTGGGCACCATCACTACCTGAGCGCCACAATGCCACACGTTATGGGTTTAAAAGTTTTACTTGAAAAACCCACCTCGAATGATGCTGCTCCCACTACATCTCACACTCTCTGGCTTCAAATAGTAGCCGCAGTTGCCGTTAGTTCTAAACAGTGCCTGATTGACTTGCATGAACTTGTCCCCCGTTTGGTAGTTCAGGGCCACCAGTTGCACCCCCGCACTCCAGAAGGGGGAGGGGTCAAAGTTGGAACTGCTGATCCGCTGGGCACGGGGGTAGACTCGCACAAAGAAGGTGTTGCTCACAGTTGAGGCAAAGTCATCGTATGAATCCTAAAGAAAAACAGCGATATTTGAAAGTAAGGATGTATCTGATCGAACTTTAGACAAAATACCGATTAATAATTTTAAGAAGTAACAAATATTTGATCAAAGTTATAAATAACTGAATTTCTTCCAGATCAAAAAAGCAACTTTATAAATTAGTATTGTGTATAACAGCGAACAGACAGCTGGAAAAGAGCGCGAAAAAAGATTTGAGAAAACTGGATTAATAGAAAAAGTTTTTTTTCTGCTGGGAAGTCTTAGAGCTGAATTACACCTTCGAAACTAGAAAACGGTTATGTTGTTTTGCGCCAATTCAGCTTTCATAAATGGAGAGTTCATTTTAGTTACCATCTAGCAAATGGACCTGAGTTTGAACCCAAAAAGTGTACACATACTTAAGGTTTACTATTATGTGCATTTGTAAGTATGAATGCACTTCTTTTGTTATTAGAGCATTTTAAGACTTTCTTGAAAAAACTCATCACGGCCTATATAATAGTCTGCGTTCATTGCTTCTTAAAAATTTGTTGAAAAAACGAAAATGATCAAAATTAACTGTAAAAAATTCTTCAGACCATTTAAAAACATTTTGAATTATAGTCACATTGCAGCTTTACTCGGCAGACTTATGCAGTTTTGGTGTTTTAAGTAGTGAACATTAAATCGGTCTCAGTTTTTCCGGTAGTTTTTTTTTGTTGACTTTTGTTCAATATCAGTTTCAAATCAAAGGTTCCTTTATTGATAAGGATGTGAGTTTCAAAAGTACGTTTCAAAAATCTGATTTTGAAACAATTGCGTTTCTAGATTTTTCTCGGCAGGCAAAATCTTAGACGACTTTTTTAGGTCGTCTAAATTGATTTTACAAGCTCTACCTTTAGCTACTTACAAGCTCTACCTTCTGCCATACCCCTCCCCCCCCCCCCCCCCCTAAATGGGCAAGTGTTGTAAAATGATGCTTACTTTTATGATTTTATCCAGTTTTGTCTCTTCAAATGAAAACACTTCAGGTTGCGTCATCTGTTGCGTAATCTCACCATTCACATTCTGGGGACTGAACGAACTCAATGATGTCTGAACTAACGAAGATTTCATAGACGAGAACATCATGGAAGAACTTTCACTTATAACCTTGGAATTGCCACATCTTTGACTGTAGTTATTTGACTGAAAATAGACTACCAGATCGCTTAACTCTTTCGCAATTCCAACTTTCTTTTGTAACTCGAGCGCACTTCGGTTTTTATCACCGGCGCATTTTATGCAGTTTTGGAAAATATCGAATAGATTTGCAGCTTCAGTAGTGTTGTCGCAGACAATGGTCAGTTCTTGTGGCTGATCGGAAGTGGTGTTGTTGACGATACTGCTGGTGGTTCGTAGCCGGAAGTATCGACTCTGATCGTAGCCTAAGATGACTTCTGGGCCGTAAAAGGAGGACCCCATCTCTATTTTAGCGCCAACTAAACATCATCTTTTATCATTGCCAGTTTCTCATCTTGAAGATCTACCTTATTTTAAAATCTTTTGAATTAAGATTGACTCCGAGGCATTGAAACCGTTCTCCTTTCATTCTTTTTTCAAAAAGATGTCTAAAAGAATTCTTAAAGAAAACCTCGCAAGATAAGGAAGCCTTTTTTTTAAAAAAAAGAAAGCTTTCCAAAGAAAAATGTCTTGGAATACCTTCGAAAATTTTGGCTTGTGGCAAACCGTTGCTATGCCCAGAAAAAGCTTTTGGTGCTAATTTCTGAACAAAATAACTCCTGAAAAATGCAGATTCCAAATGTTGACCTCACTTATGATTTGAAAACTGATCAAAATGTGTCTTAAGAAGCTGTCAAATAATTGTGAAATAAGGAAGTAGCTACCAAGTGGCACTCTGTTGCGGAAGAAGTTCTCGAAGCTGAACTGTTCTGCATTCCACTCGAACAGTTCCAAGTCCCTCCTGTGAACATACACCTTCTCACCCGTCCTATGCAGCAGACCACAGAACCAGTTCTCATCTAGAAAATAGAAATGATTCACATGTAGGACAGTTCATACATACAGAGGAGTAAAGTAAGCTTCTGCATAGATGCTTGAAGCGATGCGAAGCTAATAAAGGTCTCATCCGGTCTTAATAAAAGTTATCCGGTCTGCGAAAGTTGTATATTTGGTGCATTTGAAACATTGCGATTAGCGTGAATTTGAAACATGCAATGTGAAACATGCTATTTGAAATATGGCAGAAGGGAGTTAAGAGACGTTCAATTTAAGGAGGACTAATTTTTTAGCGCATTCACGAAGGATTTTTTATAAATTTAGTTTTATAGTTACTCTTTTGATTTTTAATCATTCTTTGTGAAATGTTAACAAATTTTATTTCCAAGAACTCATTTGATCTTTTTTTCCAAAAAAAAACATTTAATCATGCGAACAATTTTTAAAAAAATTCGTAAAATATTGCTAGAATTGATTCCATCAATTCAAAAAAGAAATTGTTCGAGGAATAACTTAATTCAGTTTCTACAGCGTGAATAGTGTTAACTGACATTGGTCATGTTTGGTGACGTTGACCACGATCTCTCCGGTGGTGACTTGTGCCTCCGTCTCTGACACTGGGGAGGGGTGGTTGTTCGCATTCAAGTCCACCTCCTCAGACGCCACTGGCAGAGACAGGGTCCGCTTCACCTAGCACAGACAAAGAAGTGCAGAAATTAATGAATAGTAAATTAACTCCCACTTCATTCTGGATGAACAAACAACCGTTTTCACTCGCTCACGTCATTTGAAACAAATGGTAGGAGATTATCAAGTGTTCGGCTAAAATCGGCTAATTTGAGGCGGAACAAATATTTTTTGCTAAAAAAAAGAGGGACAAAATTTTGCTCTTTACGAAAGAACACGGCAATTTTTCTTTCAAGAAATAAGTTCATACAGATTTGAATATAAATGATCACAATGTTTATTATTAAGGTCTTTTCGTAATTAAAACAATCAAAAGCGCTTTTTGCATCATATTTTTCAGTTTTATGTTTAAAAAATCTCTTTTTTGTCTGCTGGTGGTTCGCAAAAGTTCATTTATAACACTGATTCAATCAACTTATACGAAAGTTATGATTGGCCGTGAAAAGATATCACACCTTTCCGACGACAGCCGACTGCATGATGTTAGTGTCGAGGTACTCGGACGGACAGTACAGACTGACTTGTCTCAGCTGGTCTATCTTCTTCCGACTGGTGGCGTAGTGGCGACTCACAGGGTGAACTAGTTTGGTCTGTCTGTATATCGCATGGTGTGAGTAGTGTCTCAGGAAGTCGTTGATGGAGCGGTAGGTCTCCGAACCGAGAGTGACTGAGAGATCTTCTGCCATTTCTGAACGTGCACATCGAAAAACTGATGATACCAGGGATACAGAAAATTGATTTTTTAGTCACTATCATTTTGTGAAAAGAGCAGAAATGAGTTTTGACAAAAAAATAGTTTTTCCCAACAATAATAATCATAATAAATTGTTTCCAAACGATATCTAGTTACAAAGTTATTTATAAAAATTTATAAATACAAATTAGAATCGTTTGGGAGAACACCATTAAGCCAACAAGGCCCGTTTTCAGGTGTCTCATAAGTGTCTTTAAATCAAAACTTCACCTTAACTAAAAACTAGATGCCTAAAAACATCAAAAATTTAAATAATTTGAGTCAAAATTTTGACTATTATCTTACATGAAAACAGCGCTCAATTATTAAAATCGGTTAAAAACTTTTCAATCTAGTTTCAATAAACGTCCTAGCTTACCTAGATCAGTATGATAAGTGATGATATCTTCAGAGTCAGCGTCCGGCTTGACCGAAAAGGACAAGGCGTATTTGCAGCTGCCCACTGACGAAGTAGGGTCATTCGACCCCAAAATGACCCCTTCTCTGTTCCCATTGGCTTTCATTGGCGACTGAGTTGGTGTTGCGAGGGGGCTCATTGGAGATGTGGCTGTGAGGAGATTGGAGAGCGGGTTATTCGGATTTGTTTTTGGTCGGAACATGAAAGCACCGTCTGAACACAAACCAAGCATTGTTACAATTTTTGCACATCGAAACCATTTGCCGAAAGGCCGGTGGATCGCGGCCCACCATGGTCCAATCGCGTTGCTTGATGTTGAGGTTACATTGACCACCCGCACTCAGTAAAAAAAGAAAATAATCGATTTTATTATAATTATAATAGTACTTTTAGCAAACTTATATTTAATTATAAGCGCCAGTTTTAGATATTTAAACGATTTATAATCAATTATAATGATAACATTTCTGGTGACAATTTAATAATATATAATAAGTTATAATTAATTATAGTTGATTATATTTTTTCCGAAAATCTCTTATAATCTATTATAATCTATTATAATAGATTATAATCCCCCTTTTTCTATCAAAATATTATCTGTCAAGAAAAATGAAACACAATGGATTATAATTTAGCTATTCTGCACGAAAATACAGTATAAATCAGAACGAAGTAAGAAATCAGTAAACCAGGGGCGGATATGAGATTTTCTCGAAGAGTGGAGGTGGATTTTCATAAAATTTCTAAAAATTTTATCGACCTTTTTTTAGGTCGACCAAATTAATTTTCCGATCTCTCCCAAAGCTTTTAAAAGACCCTGTTTTGGCCAAATTTTGTGCGCCGCGCTTTTTTTGGCGCGCGCTCCCCTCAAAATTAGTTTTTAGCGCCAAAGGCTAAAGGGTCCGTCACCAAATATGGATATCTCAAAACAGTACAAAAGGGGAACCCTTTGGGTAGGCAGGGGGTCGAATCCCTAAAAAAAGGCGTCAGCCCCCCTCTAAATCCGTCCTTGCAGTAAACAGTAAGAAAATAAACAGTAAACAGTAAACAGTAAGAGAAGAAACCAACTGAAAAGCACACAAAACAAAACAAAAATAAAACGAAATGAAGCGATGACGTTTTTCGAATAAAAAAGGATTATAATCAATTAAAATGGATTGTAATTCAATAAAATTTCAGAAATAAATCTTTTCAAAAAATAATTGATTATAATCGGTTATAATAGATTATAATGGGTTTTATTGTTTTCGAAAAATAGTAACATTATAATCCATTTTTAATCGATCATAATCTTTTTTTTTGAAATTTCCATTATTATCTATTATTTTTTTTTTACTGAGTGCAGGCAGTGCAAAACAGTAACCAAAAAAATTAAGAAAATAGCCTAGTCAAGGGCACAAACGCGGTATTCAACAGCTTATATGTTGGTTGTTTCCCTCGTGAAAAAAGTCTAAACTTAGCTAAACTGCTTAAAAATATATAAGTTAAAATAAAATTGAAAACTAATAGTTTTTTGTGCATCTAGTTAATTAAAAACCAGTCAATTGATTGTTTCGTGATACCGCAACTTCATAGTCACTCAGGGTTATTTGAACCGAGAAATTTGAAAAAAAAATGAAAATCGGAATCTTGATTCAGCACTTAGTGATTAGCGAATAATTCCAAATTAATGCCAATATTTACTCGGTCAACAAATCTGAACACAATTGGTTAACTTCAAACTGTTCATTTAGAGGTCAAAAATGGTTTCGCTTTTTTTTTTTCAGTACGTACAACTGCTGTGAAAATTATCATAAGAAAAACAGTTTTTGTCAAATTTAGTTGTTCAAGGTCCGGGATATTGTCAGCAATAGGATATTAACTATAACAAGACTGCTCGTATATCAGGACGAAACCCTGAATGTTCTGACTGCTTTTTAAGGCTAATTTAAAATTGAAAAAAATCATTAGTGCTCCGCAATATTTGAAAAATGAGGAGAAACTGTGTATTCGAGTGTGTTTTAGTTTTTTTTTTTCAACGCAAAATCAACTACCACAAATAATCATCTGAGAGAGTTCAGTGAAAAATCATATTAAGGCCTATTCATTGTGATTGAAACCACATTAAATTATTCTGGAAAAGTTTTACCAGTGTCAAGGAAAACCGGTTTGAATTTTTGATTTTCCGTCTAAATTCGAGCGAGTAAATCGAGCGAGCACGCTTCTTTATGCTGAATTTAGGCCCTTTATAATAGCTAAATTGTGCTTAACTTTAAATTGACTTTCGTTCTTAGTTTTAGTTTTTGGAGGTATTTAATGGCATATGGGAATTCAAAAGTGTGTTAAAATTGATTATTTTTTGTAAATCTCTTCAAAAACTGTTGTCCTGGTTGCCTATATTAATATGATGGTCGAATATGCCCAAAATATAGTTATACGTTATATCTTTTTATCATACCACGCTGGAAAAACTACACTAATTGGAAAAAAATGCTTCGTTTTTTGGAGACTATGGTCGGAACATTCTGTGCCACTTGCACAGTAACCGGCTGTCCTAATTTTTTGTATTATTTCTTCATTTTATAAGAAAAGGATATATATTTAGCCTGTCTTTTTGATAAAAAGACCAAATATTTGCCTGAGTTCATTTGGATTGATTTAATCTCGCTTAGACGCAACTTATCGAGCGTTATTTATCCCAAAATGACCAAACTAGTCACTTCAAAACTCCCATAAAACTATATCAAGACTGCTCGTATATCAGGGCAAAGCCCTGAATGTTCCGACTGCCCTTTATTTATATTTTTAATTTTAGCTTTTGGAGGTATTTAATGGCATATGGGAATTCAAAAGTTCAAAGATGCAAAAAGTTTTTGCAAATAATTTTTTCTTTACATTGAATATATATTTTTTGTAAATCTCGACCAATTAGACAGCCTTAATTCAATTTGGAATTATTTCGTTGTGTGGGATAATTCGCTACTCATAAATAATTTGCGTTACGCTTCAGCATTGTGAATAAACGCATAATTTAGTTCAGAACATGGCAAATTTAGAAATTTTCAAACCCCCAGAACTTTACAAAAACAATCGGAGGTGAAACATCTTTTTTATTTGAACTCAAGAAGTCGATATCTTTATTGGGGTATAAAAGATTTCTGTTGAAAATTATTATTTTGATCGGTGAAAATTGCCTGAATAAAAAACCACACCGAGCATAAATATTCCGTTTTCTTCGAAAGTTGGAACAAAACCATCAAAAATGAATTTTTTTCTATGATTGCGCTCGCGGCAGCAAACATTTTCAAATGGTGTTTAAATTGGTTGTCAATTAAAATCACTACATGCATAATTTTTCCGTTTTCTTAAAGTTTGAACAAATATAAGTCTGTTTTTCTATTTTCAGCGCCTAAAAACTGGATCATATAAATCAATTTACAAGAAAAGTACCGTTTTTCGGCCAATTAACTATAATTAGAGGTTGTAACTCAAATCAATTTTCTATGTTTCTGTGAGTAACAATTGTGCCGTAAAACTTAGTTAACCTAAAAACACCGTTTTTGGTCATTTAAGTTATTCAAGACAACCAATATTGTCAAAAGTTTGCTGTGTCAAAAGTTTTTTCGAAAAATGGCTGAAGAGACCAATGCTGTAAGTGAAAACTTTTTTTTCTTTTTTTTTTCAATATTTAAATACTGGGTCATAAAAATCAATTAATTTGAGAAGCACCGTTTTTTGGCCAATTAATTTGCTCGAGACCATTAAAAAGCTGGTATAAACTAAAACTTAAGTGCGTTGAACGCTTTTTTAAGTGCGTTAAAATTGTCAAAAAGTCAATTACCATAGTTTTAAGTTGTAACTGAAATCAAATTTCCTTTTTATCAGTGCGTAGAAAACGTGTCATAAAAATAAATTAGCCTAAAATGCACCGTTTTTTGGCCAATTAAGTTCTAGTCAAAGCCATTCAACAGTTTTTTGGCACTATAATTATAAGTTGTGCCTGGTTTAACTGGTGCTTACCCTGGCAGCAGGACTTGAGTATCTTCTCTGCCTCTGTCTTGGAGCAGGTGGGGTGGAATGTGGAGTGGGTGGTGATGAAGTGTGCGTAGGGTCTCCCTAGAAGGAACTCCCTCTTGTCCGCACTCATGAAGGGCGAGTCCATGTAGTTCTTCGCCAGCTCAGTCAGAGAGACAAACATGTTCTGGCTGAAATCACACTCTCTCGAATTAGTTTGCAATAAAAACGATGTTATAAAGCCCTCCAAAGATTTTGGTGAATGACAAGGAGACGGGTTTGATCCAAACAGTGAGGTTTATAGGCAATTATGAGAGAAGTACAGCGACCAAAGTGGAAGCAAGGCACCCAATTAGAAGAACATTTTAGCCGAGTATTGAATCACTATTTATTACAGCAGTTAGTCCTTTTTCTCCGAGTTGAATTTTCAAGAACAAAAAAATTGTCGGCTTTTCCAAAATATGCATTCAAGAATGAAAATGAGTTTTTTCTAAACTTGCAAACTTTGTTCAAACAAAATTTGTAAAATTTACCCTTTCTACCACAAAAATGACTGATTGTGGTTCATTAACTTGGGAAACCTTTAATGAATATTTTCTAATAAACCTTATCACCTATTTGTGTTGCAACTAAAACTAGTATGAGAGCTTAGTTTTCAGAATATGGATATTTTTAAGATGAAACTTGAGCTGAAGAAAAACTTACTCATGAAGAAAATATCTCCCCGTCATTTCCTCCTGGTACACTGGCACGTGATGTATGGTGCGATTGTTATTCGCTTCATTCTGATTGGTCACCGAGAATGAAATGGTGAACGCCTGACTCGAACTGTCTCGTATCAGAAACACATTGCAATTCGCCCTCAGGTCTCGTAGCAACTGCTCGGCTTTGGTACGAGCGCAGTTCGGAATGTAAATGTCGTCCCAGTAGAGAGTGTCGGAGGCGAGTTCGGTGTCGTGAGAGTCGGAATCGGCGGACAGTTCTGCGTGTGTTCCGATCTCCCACATGAATAGTGTATCTGTTAGAGTCGCATAATGCTCGAGTAGTTCTTTCCTTCCTTGAAAAATAGTATTTTGTAACTTAGAGCCTAATGATATACCCTGAGGGCGAAAAAACTCGAGGGACTACGGAAATGCCACCCGACACGCTATGATGCCTTTTTGGTATTTCTAACAAGCCGAATTAAATCATAAACGTACAATTTCATAAAATGTTCGGTAATAAGTTTCAGGTTTAAAAACAAAATTATTATTATTATATAAAACACAATGTCGTTTTTATGGTAGCAAGGATTTCAGAAATTCAATTTTGAAAACTCTGAGGATTGAGTAAAGTGGTAAATTTCGAATAGTAGACAACAACTCGCTTTAAAGTCACATTTTTACAGCACAGTCCATTTTTCCAAATTAAGTAAAGTGATACTTAGTGTCACTTTACTTAATTTGGAAAAATCTATCCAACGTGAAGGAACCCAGCAAAGTTCAGTATGGTCAAAATCCCCTTCTTTTATAATCCCTTATTTGGTAATTGGCTCAATGGTTTCTGCTACAAAATATTGTTTAATTTAGCGCAGATGTTTCAAAATACCTAAGAGTGAACGATGGGTTTTCGTGATGAATCTGGGTAAGAAAACTGCCCTTTTAAGATGAATTATCTACGAGAGAAGGAAAAAATACGAACTTTTCAGCTCTTTACGGAATACCACTTTTTAAACACTGATGATACTTCCAAAAACTTTGATTCATAAAACTCTTTGCTGGTAGATCCCATCTTTATATTTTCGCTCAGGTGTGAACAAAACTTTTATTATAAGCAATCATAAATAATCAGAATTAAACTGCACTAACCGTAGTCGTAGAACTTGAGCACGCCACTCCACACAAACGCCTGCTCGGCACAGTCTGCATTCTCGCTCGTCTCGTCCGCGCCTTCCTTCAACTTCTTGTGCTTAATCAACACCTTATTGGCCAGCTGTCTCGGACTGGGCACGCCCTCGACCCCACTCAATGGCTCAGTCACCAACGAATTCTTCAGGACGTCCTTCAAAAGGGATTACATATGTAAGTTAGCTGTTAGGATACAAATCGCCTAGGCTTTGAGTCTCATTGAAGAAAATCATCGTTTCAGCGGGTAAAATAAAGCGAGGAGTTTTTCTTAAAATTTGTGCCTTTAAAAATAGGAGTAATCTAAAATCGAATTATTTTTTCACTCTTTTCTTGCCTTTTAAAATACTCATAATGCTATTCATGGTAAAATTTGTTATTTAAAGTTTATTAAAATAATGATTACTCATTGTAAGCTTGGAAAGGTAATGGGCTGAAAAGTTGATTGTTCTCAAGTTACCTTCAAAATGCTGGCCAGTCGTCTCTGCTGTGGTAGACTGCAATGGTTCTCGATCGACAGAATGACAGGGAATTCAGAGGTCCTGAATGAGTACTCGCGAATCACTTGGACGATGTCATAGAACTTGATCTTACTCGTCATTGTGTATCCGTGGTAGACCTAAAACATTAAAAGAGACTTTGAAACATTCAAGTGAAAATTTGCTTTCTGCTTTGACTTGCTTGTTGCTTGAACAATCAAACCTTTCAAAATTTTTCAAGGGATATTAAAGAGGTTTTGCAGAAATGAAATTTTGCAGAAATGAAATTTTTCAGAAATAAAGTTAAATCAGCCTGTAAGTCAGACTGAGTGAAAACAAGCAAGTTATTTCCAGAAAATCTTGGAAAAATTGGTATGCATCAAACATGCAATTTCGTGCACAGAATTAAGGAAACATACTCATTGGGCAACTCGAATCTAACCCATTTATCTTTCAATTCTAAATTGTTTTGCGTAATAGAACCATTGATTTGGTGCTATCAGAAAACCCATTTTGAGTTGCGGTTCTAGCATGAAAATAGGACTTTCCATTTTCTTCTAGTTTCTCAGATATTGTTGCAACTTTTAACAAAATCTTAAAAATTTTGGAAATTGATTTTGCTATTTCTTTTTCTTCGCGGGTTGTTAGCTAACTTGTGGCGCACTCTCGTATCCTGTAAGATCTAAAAAACCTGGTTCAACATCTGTAAATTATCGGCAATTTAAACAGATAATATGAAAATATAAAGATAATATAAAATAAGGCAAACATCTTCCGGTTAACATGTTATCAAACGGTTTTTCAACAATCACAAAAATCTATAAACATTTTGATGGCAAACTGACCTTAATCGAACAAACCAGTAGTTTTCAAGGCCTTTTGTCTAAGCAAATCTAATTTTAGCTTTTTCACTTTCGCGCTATAATGACGTCATTAATTTAAGCGCGAACATCTTCCGCGCCCAAAGGAGCAAAAACGGGTGCGAGTTTTACGGCCGGTCGAGTTTTATACGAGCCAGAGGGTAGTGTCCCCTTGGGTTGCGTTCGTCAACAATCCACACTAAATCCCCTGTTTTTAAAATAACGTCACTATCGGAGTGCCACTTACTGCGTTTATTCAGCGCTGGCACATAATCTCGCAGCCAACGACTCCAAATTGCGTTGGCGTAGCTTTGCGCTCGGATATATTGCTTTCGATGGTCGAAGTGCTCCTGGAAAGAGAGAGAAGGAAAGCTAGTACCATTTCGGCCTAACAAAAAATGATTAGGAGTTAACACCTCGAAACCATCCGGACTTGCACTTACTGATGTTATAGGTCGAACGTTCAGTGATTGTTCTACAAGACAGAAAGTTGTTTCAAGGACTTCGGGAGTGAGCTTTCTACTTCCTATTATTGCGTAGAATACCCTTTTACAACACCGAACGAGACGTTCCCAAGAACCACCGTGATGCGGGGCTGCCGGGGGGTTAAATTTCCACTTAATACCCTTTTTCGCCAGCTCTGGGGGTGCTTGATCGTTCCACGACTGAATACAATTTAAGAGTTCTTTCTCGGCTCCCACAAAATTGGTGCCGTTATCAGATCAAATGACTGATGGAGTGCCGCGACGGCCAATGAATCTTTCGATTCCCATTACACACGAACTCGTGTCCATGGATGAGACAATCTCAATATGTACAGCTCTGGTGGTCATACATGTAAAAAGGAAGCACCATCGTTTTTCAGAACTCCTCCTGATTGAGACGTAAAAGGGTCCAAAGTAATCAACACCACAGTTTGTGAAGGGAGGCTGGCGGTAACCAAGCCTTTCAACTGGAAGCTCTGCCATCATAGGTGTGACAGTTTTGGCTTTGCGCTTCCTACAAATAAGGCAGTGGACTTCAATGGACTTCAATAAAGAGCGAAGGTTCAAGATTGCGAACTCTAAGTGAATTACAGCTCGCAGGTAGTCTAAGAACTGGTGCTGATAGCGATAATGAATATCACTTACGAACAATTTCACCAAAGAATGCCTTCCATCAAGGATTATGGGGTGTATTGTGTCATATTCAGTTTCAACTAGGCGGCGAATTCGCCCAGTTGAACGAATGAGGAATGCAGGACCCATAAACGGTGCATACTGTGCAATACGACTAGACTTTTTGACGGTTTTGTTGCAGGACAAGAGTAAATATTCCGCTTCAAAAGATTCCTTTTGGGAAATCAACAAAAGTCGTTGTTTGGCGGTTTCTAATTCAACCGGATTGGTTATTTCCTTGACTTTAGTGCGGTAGTGCCGGTGTTTCGGACTAAGTCTGAGCATGAAGGCAACCACTCGCTGGAGTTTACGAAACGAGCTGAACTTTTCCCATGCAAATAAAATGGGTTGTTTTTGTTTTTGTGCAACGTTTGAAAATTAGAGGCTGCTGTAAATCTTCATTAAGGTCACAAGCGGGACCAGCCAGGCGGATTTTCTTAAGTATTTTTATGCTCGGCTTGAGACGCCACTCGCCACTTTTCAGCAGACTTGGTCCGTTCACCCAGCTGCTTGTTTTTAAGGACTCCGCTGAGATTCCTCTGGTTCCCGTATCAGCAGGGTTGTCTCCACTTAAGACATGAAACCACTGATCAACGGTCGTACTTTCTAGAATCTCTCCAATCCGGTTTGCCACGAACGTGGGTTGCTTACTACCTGAGTTTAACCACTGGAGCACAGTGGTGCTGTCAGTCCACATGAACGTGTTTGACACAGGAATAGTTAGAGCTTTGAGGACATCTTCCTTCAAGCGGGTAGCGAGTAACGCGGCCTGCAGTTCAAGCTTCGGGATGGAAAGCGCTTTCATGGGCGCCACTCTTGCTTTTCCAAAGACGAAGGCAACTTGTGTTTCGAGTGAAGTTTTCACACGGGCGCGAAGAAAAGCTACAGCACAAAAAACTTCTTCTGAGCTGTCACCGAACATGTGTAACTCAACCCAATCGACTGGTGCGGAGAAGTAGCTGCGCTTTATACTCATTTTCCCTAGAGATGGCAAACCAGAGTGCCAGGCAAGAAATTTTGTCTTGATATCAACGGGTAGCTGATCATCCCATTGTTGACCATGAATGCGCCAGATTTCTCTCAACAATAATCGGGCTCTTACGGTATAGGGCGCTACGAGACCTATGGGGTCGAAAACGGAAGAAACAAAACTTAACACTGTTCGCTGTGTTATCGAATTTTTAAGTTCACGGTTGACACCACGGCTTACGACCAAAGTGTCGTCAATATGGTCCCACTTCAGCCCAAGAACATGAGAAGACTTATCCCCACAAGTTACAATATTTTTACTTTCCTGTTGCGGCGCGCTTTGGGGCGGGTTTAACTTTTTATTAATTTTAGTTACGTTACTTATGAATTTAGTTAATTTAAAACCACCTAGAGCTAACAGAGTAATCAACTCTTGACTCATTTTAAATGCAACATCAGGGTCCTCAAAGGAGTCAAGGTAGTCGTCCATATAAAGTTTCTCTAGAACTGCGGATGCTGCGTCAGGGAACATCGCCTGATTATCCATTGCAGTCCGTTGCAATGCATAATTTGCACACGTTGGCGAATCTCTCGCTCCAAAGATATGTCTGGTGTACTGGTGTACAACCACATCGGCTGTGGGGTCCTCCCGCCACAGAAAACGAAGAGATGGTTGGTCCTCTGGAAGGACGCCGACTTGTAGGAACATCCCTTCAATGTCAGCCGGTACGGCCAAATGATGTTGACGAAAACGGAGGAGAACGAACACAAGGTTTTGCAGTAGGTCGGGTCCTACTAGCAACGATTTGTTCAATGACGTACCGTGGAATTTAGACGCTCCGTTAAGGACACGCCTCACTTTACCAGGTTTGTTTGGGTTCACCACGGGATGGTGAGGAAGATACCACTCGCGTATGCTGCGGTTCGAAAAATTATGGGGAGGAACTTGAATCACGTATCCTTTACTCAAATCATCTTCGATAGTTTTTGAGTATTGATCCCTTAAGTGAGGATCTTTCGCTAAACGTTTTTCCAACGATTTTAACTGAACCAATGAGGAATAGTAATTGTCTGGTAACATGATAGATTCTTCTGCCCAAAGCATACCTACAGCGTATCTTGATCCATCGTGGACGGTGGAGGAATCAAGTATTTTAGCCGCCCTTTTGTCTTCGGCTGAACGGGAATCGACCTGTTTGTAGGCTCCGTATGACTCTATTTCATACCAGCGTTTGATTTGACAAGCTAGTTCGGTATCATCCGTATTGCACTTGAAACAAGTAGATGTCGGCATTGGGCCGCTCAAGACCCAGCCTATTGGAAGGCGAACCGCGACGGGCGATGTGTTTGGATCGGCCTCACTCTTGAAATACTCCTCAGGCCGAATAGCATGGAAGGAGTCTTGACCAATTATTAAGTCTAAATCGCCGTAGCTATACACAATTGGTTTGATTGGAGCAAGGTACGGATACTTGCTCTGTAATGCAGGGATGTTGACGGTATCGGTACCGACTTTAAGTTCATCCTTGACAAATGCGGTTAATTCGAATATGTATTCGAATCCATCGAAGTTAGAAGATACCTTCATCTGAACTTGTTTCGTTTTAACAACAGTCGTTGTGTTAATACCATTTACTGTGAGATCCAAATCTCTTCCTGAGAGATTCAGACATTTGACTAAATTAGCCGATATCCAGGAATGACTAGATGCTGAGTCACACAATGGTTAACAATCAGCACTCTGGAAATCGGTGGAAACTTGGAGCTTGATTATGGGCAGTAACCCTTTCGATGTTATGATTGATGATTGGTCGTTCGAGATTGCGCAACTTACATCCAACGGAACGGGATTAATGTCTGCATGATTCGAACTTGCGTTTGGTATATTCTTGCTGAATGATTTTCGATCAGCGTTTGTGCTCGCTTTATCCGGCTCTGCATTAGATCTTGGTTGACGAGCGTTGGGTCTTGTATGGCTATCATTTTCGTCCGGTTTTCGACTAGGAAAAACACGTTAAGCCCCATGGAGAAGTACACTATGGGTGCTAGTGCAACCTGGTTTGGTGCATTTCTTTGCTCTGGGACATTGCCGGAATGCGTGGTTCCCTTGTAAGCAGGAGAAGCACAATTTGTTTTCCGCAGAGAATTTCGCAC